CGAAGGACGGGCAGAGCGAGAGGATGATTTAGACTCTTGAGGACATGCTCCGGGCATGTGTCCTAGATTTCGGTGGCCGTTGGGATACGTATCTTCCGTTAGCGGAATTTTCGTATAACAATAGTTATCATGCGAATATTGACCGCCCTCCCTTCGAGATGCTCTATGGGAGGAAGTGCAGGACCCCGATCTGTTGGGGCGAGGTCGGTCAATGTGTCATAGGGAGCACCGAAGTGATGCTCAAGACGACGAGTTGATCCAGCATGTTCGTAGTAGACTGCAGACTCCGCAGAGTCGGCAGAAGAGAAATGCCGACAGGAGGCGTTTAGACTTGGAGTTTCAGGTAGGTGATATAGTCCTCCTAAAGGTATCACCATGGAAGGGTGTCATCAGGTTTCGGAAGAGGGGCAAGCTGGGACCCAGGTTCATCGGTCCTTTTAGGGTTTTGGCCCGGGTGAGTTGGGTCTCTTATCGGTTGGATCTTCTGGCATAGCTTAGCTAGATCCACAACACTTTCCATGTTTCCTAGTTGAGGAAGTGTTTGGTGGACGAGTCAGCAGTTTTACCCTTAGAGGATATTCAGGTTGATAGCATCCTGAATTATATTGAAAGGTGGATTGCAATTTTGGATCGAAAGACGAAGACCTTTAGGATCAAGGTGGTTTAGTTGGTAAAGGTGCAGTGGCAACACCAGAAGGGATCTGAGTGGACGTGGGAGGAAAAGAAGGAGATGAGGGAGCACTACCAGAGTTTTTTCCAGATGCAGCAGTAACAGACTTCGAGGACGAAGTCTAAAATAAGCGGGGGAGATTTGTAACACCTGGTTCCTGGTATGTATTTTAATCTAAGTATTTTTGCATTTTTAGCTGGGACTCGGTGAGTTGTAGGCCCGACTCGCCGAGTAGAGATGAGATATTGAGCACGTGTAAGTTGGCAACTCGGCGAGTCCATGTCCTAGACTCGGCGAGTCCGCTAGTCTGGAAGAAACCCTAGATCTACGGGTTTTGCACCCTATTTAAACCATGTTATGAGCCCCAACCTCGCCTCCTTCACCCTCAGAGCATCATTGAGCAAACCCTAACCATTCCTTGAGCATTTTGAGCATTTCTTGTGTGAATCTTGAAGTTTTGAAGAGAAGAAGGAGGTTAGATCCAAAAGAGTAGAAGGAGATCCAAGATCTTGCACCCACTACAGAGTTTATTGAGGTAATAATCAGATTCCTTCTGTTTTTATGATTGATTCTCCATTATTAATCACATTGAGGCCATTTTATCCATTTCTTAGCTTGTTTATAGTAGAGAGATCACATTGGGTTGATTAGCCTTCGGATCTAGCCATGTTTCAGTTCCAAAAACTTAGATCTAATACCTTTATGGAGCCATTTTGCATGAAAGCCCTAGATCTACTCTTTTAAGTGTCTTTTGAGCCTTTAAATCCTTTTTTCATGCATATGTACATGTAAAGTTGGAAACTTTACGTGGTAACCAAGCCTTAAGAACCCAAATCTATAAGTTGTATGCATTGGTTTTGAGCAGAATCAACTGTATAGATGTTGCATGCAACCGACTCGGCGAGTCATTCTTCAGACTCGGCGAGTCGAGTCGTGAGTCATCGAGTTTTCCCCTTCTATGTATTATGACGAGTGGAACCAGTGAGTTGTAGGTGGACTCAATGAGTCGAAGATCGGACTCATTCTTGGAGGGACACGGCGAGTCAATGCCCTGACTCGGTGAGTCTAAGGCAATCATCATATCTCAAGAATAGACTCGGCGAGTTGTTCATACAACTCAGCGAGTCCCAGTCGAGGTGTTCATATGATGAAGGAGAACTCGATGAGTTGTTCATACAACTCGGCGAGTCGGATGCAGATTGACAAAGTGTTTGTGTCAAAGAGGAACTCGTCGAGTCTCTGCCAATCTCGACGAGTAGTAGCGAGCAGAATTGAGAAATGAGAGTAGGGACTCGACGAGTTGGTGGCCCCACTCGACGAGTCTGGTCAACTGTATGTTGACTTTGACCAAGAGGTTGACTTTGATCAGGGGTAAAATAGTCATTTTACCCTCAGTATAGTTATCAGTATTTGATTGAGTGTACTTATGGAAATTGTAGTCGGGGAGATACCGGAGCAGCAACAGACAGATTCCAGACCAGTTCTTTCAGCGGCCAGATTACGAGGTGAGTTTTCCTCCCAGCAGGAACGGGTCTACGGCCATAATGTCAGCCCATTTAGTTAGCAGTAGTTTCGGACCTCGGTCCGATGCAGTAGTCAGATTGCTTGATGTCTTTGTGATTCAAGTATGTTTGAGCTATGTGTTCCGGACTTCGGTCCGATGCAATATGCAATATATGTGCTTATGCTAGTTGATATGTTTATGCCATGCTATGTTATGCTCAGTCAGTTTCCGGACTTCGGTCCGATGCAGGGGACAAGGTCCCAATCAGTTCCGGATTTCGATCCGATGCAGTTAGTTCCGGACTACAGTCCGATGCAGGGGGACAAGGTCCTAGTTAGTTCCGGACTTCGATCCGATGCAGTTTCCAGACTTCGCTCCGATGCATTGGGCAAGACCCAGTATGTGTTTATATGTTATTGTATGGTATGTGGTAGTTTGGGGGGAGCTCACTAAGCTTCGTGCTTACAGTTTCAGTTT